TAGATGGTGCAGCAGCCTAAAAATGCAGCAGACATGGGTTATATATTAAAATAATAATATGCACATTAAAATGCAGAATGAATGTATACGCTTTTAAAACTTTTCACATTTGTCTTATTTTTTATACAATATTCTGACAAAGTGTCATGCCACTAGTCCTTCCTTTTGATTGATATTGTTAAAAAAAGTTCTTTCTGAGTATAAGCCTCCCTTAGTTAAAAATTCATTTTGGCCTCCCTTACACAATGTGTGCTGCATACAGAGTGACTTCATTTCCTTGTATGGCCCTGTGAGGTTGATTTCATTTAGAGGCAGGCCACAAGATGTCTCCCTCTGCTAAAGAAGCTGCCTATCCAGTGGAGTGACATTCTGAGTGCAAATGTGTTGCACCCTTTGTGTTTTTATATAATTTCATTTGTCCAAATAATTTTCTGTCACATTGTAACCCAGGTCATTTACAAGTTCTGATTTCTCTGTGGGTAAGATGCTTTATATTGTCTTGTGATGGAAAGTAATACACATTATTGATTGATTGCTTGATGAACTGTTTCAGAAATGAAAACATTTGTCTATTTGATTTTTTTTTTCTATGTATGTAAAGAAACGGACTCATTTTGTTAACTTTATTTATTCATTCATTTACTTATGATCAACTCTAATATATTATGTGGAGATGTAGTTTTTTCACATAATTAGAGTGCAACAGTTAAAACAATGACAAGGACATTAATATAGGAATTAATTATCTGATAATAAATAAGTAAATACTGTCACCATTTAGAGCCACATTATTTAAAATAAACTGTATTTTCGCATAAATAGTTCAGCAGTCCAACATTGTAGTGAAGCTCCAAAACAGGGGTCCCCAAACCTCAGAGTCCGGTCCAAGTCCGGACCCAGAGAGTGTTTTATCCGGACCACAAAGGATTTTCATGACACGACAGGAGCGAGCGATTTACATGTTAACGCTATGTAAAGGCACGTTCTGGAGTGAAGCAGCACAAAGAACGCATCACGAACAGTGCGATTAGCACGAATAGAGCGAAACGAAATCCATGATGGATGCAAAGGGAATATTGCTGGGGTTAAAAAATCTGAACTTTTCTGTCAGTTCGTGTCTATAGCAGTTGCCATACCAGTATGAAACTCAAAGCAGTTGCTTAGGGTACATCTATGTTCATGTAGATATGATATTTTATTTATAACTATTTAATTTTTAGATGCTTATGTTAGCAAGCCTGATTTCTAGGTTGCCGATCAGCCATTATTACATAATTATTTAATACGCTGCAATGCTACATTCTGTTGTCATATCAGCTCTTGCCTGGTGTATTTTGGCAATCCATATGCTTAGGGGGAAAAATGTTTATTATATTTAAAAGATTTGGACAGTACAATTTGGCTGTTTATCTGAGATTTATTTACTCACCAAAGACAGATGGGCAGACATTCTGCAGCGAGGCTACAGCACCTGTAGTTGGTGTCCCAGATGCTGATTCGAAAACACAAAAAACCTTTTACTGACTGGGAAATGATCAAAGAATGCATGGAAGCTGTGGTAGAAACACTTTTAGATGGAAAAGAATGACAATAACTTAAGTAAAGGTTAAGCAAATTGCCATGCTTGCCACAAGCACGACAGAGGAGCAGAACTGTTACAGCAAGATGTACAGACCCAGCTACACTGTCATTCACAGTGCATTTTATATTGGTATTTACATTTTATTGCACTTTTCTGGTTAGCAGATGATTTCATGGGCATATGAATAATTGATCAGTAGTTAAAAAACAAAAACTTTGGTTCTAATTAAATATTAAATAGAAATGAAAGAAAATATATTTAGACCCCACAGTGTTTGGATGATCGAGGTAGTGGGTACTGCGATTTCTGTTGGGGAGCCCTGCTCATAAAAATCAAATTTTGATTTGACCATTTTGTTTATTAACGTTAGAAAATGCATACAGTGCCATGAAAAAGTATTTGTACACCTGATTATTTTTAAATGCAGTTTTCAATAATGATCTTATTTATAAAGAGAAAAAAGCTATCCAAACCAAACTGACCTTATGTAAAAAAAAAAGTTATTGCCTTCTGGACCCAATAACTAATTGTGCTACTCTTTAATGCAATAACTGCCATCAAGCATGTAGTGCGTCTTTCACATCACTGTGGAGGGATTTAGGCCCACTTTGGTTTGCTCAATTGCTTTAATTCTGTCACACTGGAAGACTTTTGAGCATAAACAGTCAGTTTAACGTCATGCTACAGTATTTCATTTGGATTTACCTTCAGAAAAGTCATGAAGCAGCTTAGCAGCCCCTGACCATCACACTGCTACCACCATATATGACTGTCAGTATTATGTTATTTTCCTGAAATGCTGTGTTAGTTCTTTGCCAGATATTTCAAGATGCTCATCTTCCACAAAGGTACACTCATTACCCATCTATCCAAAAAATATTGCAAGAAGGCAAATACATTTTTATGGCACTGTAATTAAGTCACAGAGCACTATAAGACCCTATTTTGACCAAACATACGATTTTTCAGGCATTTACAATTGGAAGCACTTTTTTTTTTTTTATCACTGTGGGATTTAGTTATATTCTCAGATTTTGCATTCAATTGAGGCATAATAACGTCAGGTCTGTCCTGTAAATAAAGGATCATGAATAGCATTGGAGAATAATCTAAATAGTAACTTTAGGTGTTAAATAGAGAGCAGTCTGAAGACAATCCAGATTTAGTATCAAAATTCCCAGACTTTAAAACACAGAAATGCGAAAAATAATCTAAAACAATAGCTTGATAAAAAATAAAAATAAAAAACTTTTTAAATGATTGTTATAGCAAGTAGGAGCTTGTGTTCAACTGTAAACTTATAGCTGTGATAATGTTATGTTCCACTGATCAATGGGGTCTGAGAAATAACCCCAAACATTTGGTACTGAAGAGTCTATTTTATGATACATATGCTCTTGCTGTTTTAACACACAGTCCAATGATAAATAAGGGCATCAGGGCTGATAATGATGAATCAATTCATCAGTTCAGTTATAAAGTTACTGCACATTAATGTAAGGTATTACTCATATTTTATCTCCTTTATTTTTGCTCTGTGCTTGATGTGTTTGTGGTGCACAACATGTAATTGCTGCCATTTGCACTGGCCCTTAAAGGAGTTCATCCGGTTACTGAGGCAGACCTCTGCTCCTCCTCTAATGAGACCACTGGGGCTCAGCTTGGCTTTGATATGAAAGAGGATGGTTAGTGTCATTTGCGGACAGTCGTGGAGGAGTGAGTCACGTCTTAAATGAGGCTACGCATGTGAAAATCTGAGAAATAAACCCTTTTAAATTTCTCTCCTTTTGATTTCCCATAAAACAATAATGGAATCTCTATTGGAGTTAGAAAATTGTACTCCATCAAGGCTTCCTAATTACATGCTTAAATGCTGGGATGATCACCTTGTGCTTCAGCTTTCACACACACAGGCAAAATGAAAGATTACTATGTTTAATATATGCACAGAAAAGATTAATTCTGGCCAGTAATTATACTCAATGCTGCACCACTGCTAGATGTGTTTATTACAAGTATATTACTTACAGAGCAATAAACGCTAGATGGGTTAGGATAGTGACAAACAAGCTGGTTAATTTAGTGGAACATTTGACAGAGCAAACCGGACAAAATGAGAGAATGTTGTATATACCAAACATTAAAGCAGGGACTGCTATAGATTTCAGGTAACATTCCAAACGTGGGGGCTGTGTCAAGAGAAATGTTGTCAGAGATGACCAAAATGATGAACTGACCAAAATATTTAAAAGTGCCAGTCTGTCTGTAACTTACGGCAGTGGGGAAGGACCGCTTGTAAAAAAGAATGTAATCCAGAAAACTAGAATTCTATCATTATTCAGGTTGATGTAATTTCTGCTCCAGCTCTGACAGAATTGCTATTCTGATGTCTACAGGCATCAGCAGTTCCTTTTCTCCCAATAACTGCCTCACTAGAAAAGCCGATTTTATATTACCAAGCCATGCAGCGATTGTAACGGCCTTTTTTTCAACACATAATCAGCTTTATTTAACTGAACTACCATAATATACCTGTCCAAACATTTTTAAAAGAACACAACCTGTCACTGCACTCATACTCTTTGAGTCCATCTACAGTTAGTTTTCTCTCAACAAAAAATTGTTTGCCTCTAAAAGGTTACTTCAAGCTAATACTATGTATTAGCTAAAATATTGATAAGATTATACTGCAATAAAACACTTTCTCATTCATTTGGCTCAGACACTAAGAAATAAAAGAAATGACTGCAGCTAATTATTGTGGATAAACATGCAGGAGAAACATTTAGATATTTTAAACGTGAATATTTATTTTATCTCCTCTGACAATATTTATTTATATTTAAATGCCTATATGTTGAGTGTGTGTGAAACTGGAATATAATTCCTTGCCTGTTTGCACAAACTTGGCCAATGAAGCTGGTTTCGAGTTAATGTTTTAACAAATATCACGTTCTGCAGACATCAGCAGGCTTTTGTACTGACACAGGACACAAACAGGACACAGGATACAAAATAAAAACTGATATAAAACCCATTTTTCTACCAGAAAAACGTTTGGCTTGTAAACAATTCCCAGGAATCTGATTGTTTATTCACTGCTAGAGCTATCTGCTGTTGCTTTGGCATTAACTGTGTTCATCCCTCAGTTTTGGATTGTTTCTTCTCCTGAGGCTTTTCCTAGGACAAAAAGTATTTACAACAGAGATTGTTTTTGGTGGGCTTACTTTCATGAAACTCATCCACATTTCCTGCATACAGTATTCTTTTAGAAATGTCTTGATTGGTAAAGAAGACAACCTGTTTCTATTTACAGCAATAAATAGTGATGCTGTTCCGGATAGTGTGGTTATAAACACTGTCATCTATGTCATCTCCAACAGCCGCTTTTGTGTCAAAAAGTGTATTTTAGGGGCGCGCGCTGGTGGTGTAGGGGTTAAGCGCGTGAGCACATATAGAGGCTAAAGTCCTCAAAGCAGCCGTCCTGGGTTCGAGTCCCGGACCTGGTGACCTTTGCCGAGTGTCTCCCCCTCTCTTTGCCCCTCCTTCCTGTGTACCTACTATCAAAATAAAGACCACTAGTGCCCAAAAAATATCTTTTAAAAAAAAGTGTATTTTAGAATTATTTATCAGCAAACAAGCAAAAGGCCAATTACAATTTATGTGTTTCATACCTTCATTATTTTTAGATTAGGTTTAGGTTCTCTGACTCTAAAATATGATATCTGGCCTTTTAAATTTTTATATGTACAAAACGTGATTATTGCAGTGAAACACTAAGAGCATGTGTTCGAAAGAAGGGTGATGATTATACTTTATTGGTCCTGTGTAACCTCTGGAGCTCTGCAAAATGAAACGACACTTTGGGTTGAAATGCTGACGGGGGATGATTCTGTGAGCATGAAGAGCCCTCTGTATCACAGACCTATTGAGGCTGAATGAGAGAAAGGAGATCATGCAATTAACCCCCTCATATCTATTGACACATGTCCAGAAAACCTTACAATAGAGGAAATCCATGGAGATGGTCAAGGAGAAACCAGACTGTCAGCCATAACTCATACAATAAAAAGAGTCAGATACTTATGTACCACTGTTGGTGTGAGAAAACAGAATGAAGTGCTCTGTTAGGAACATATGGAACAATCAGATCTCTGATGTATGATGGAGCTAGATCATTAAGGGCTTTATATGTGAGGAGGAGAATTTTAAATTCTATTCTGGATTTAACAGGGAGC